CTGCGCACGTCCCGCGGCGCCCGGTCCCGAAGCCAACCGCGGCGGATCGCGGCAGAGCGTGAGCGCACCGCCCTCTCGGAGCGGCCGCGGTCGCGGCCGCGATGTGCCCTCCCTGCTCCAGCAGGCCTGGCGGCCCCCAGAACTGCGCCGGGGTGTGAGGTCCTCTGGGTACTTCCTCCTCCTCCTCTCCTCCTCCTCCCCCTCCTCCTCCTCCCCTCCTCCTCCTCCTACCTCCTCCTCCTCCTCCCCCTCCTCCCCCTCCTCCTCCTCCTCCTCTACAGACCGCCACATTCACAACGCCTCGTACCCTGAAGTCCGGGCGTCGCAAGTATTCTACATTGGGCGCTTTCGCCGGATTCCAGGCCCCAGGACCACTACAGATCGATCCTGCTCGAAACATGCCGCTGAGAGGTGGGGTCTACCCTGAGATCCGTCACCGCGAAAAAATGCAACATTGTTGAAAAAAAACGCCGCTGGAGCCCCAGACCCCATCGTGCTGTTGCATGTTTCGAGCCGGGTCGAGCTGTGATGGCTCTGGGGCCCGTAATGAGGCGAAAACGCCCAGTGCCCCCCCCAAACAAAAAAAGAAAGCAACGCCCGGATCTCTGGGTACACAATGCTCATTCCTAATTACTCGAAAGTTCTTCGATGTTTTAGGGGGCCAAGATCCTTTCGCTTTTTGATGGTTCTATCCTGGGTTTCTTCCTGGCCGCTAGGGGGCCAGGAACAATCAGAACCGATCACGATTAGAAACGAGCAGGATTTTGAATTGAACGACGTGTACGGCTCAGGCCGTGATTTATCGGCGATGTTGTGGCTCCGCTCTCTCGCAACGTCGGATCGCAAGCAGGGCCCCTCCTCCCCTCCGGAAGGTGCGCGGCCGAGGCCCGTGGGCCCCCCTCTCCGCCCCCACAGTGAAGTCGGGCCGGTCCCTCTGCAGGAGGGACACCCAAGAATCAACCCTGACTCCTGATCCGCCCTACTTTGGGCGATTTCGAAAGTAGGGCGGAAATTTCCGCCCTACTTTTGAGGCCCCTTTGAGCGCCGATTTCCGCCCTTGAGGCTCCTTTGGCGTCGATTTCCGACACAATTTTAGGTCGGAAAATCATCCAAAGTACGGCGGATCAGGAGCCAGGGAAGGGCATAAAAAAACGCCCCTACCCTGGTTCACGAGGCGCTGTGCGCTGAAACTCCTGTGGGCTGACAGGGTAAACCCTGCGTGATGTGCCGCGTCCTGGCGGCTCTAGGCTCTGGGGGCTCCCAGGAGGTTTACAGACCACGCACTTGTAACCCAGGGTAGGGTCGTTTATTCATCCCTCAAAAGAAGAGTCCAGAAATAGTCTGGGGACGCCGTCTCGATGATTTGTGCCACCAGTTCTGAGTATGGTCTGGCGACTTGTCTTGCCTCCTTCAACCTCCGCCTCTGGGGAGGACATGCCATACCCAACCCTACAGGGAGAGGCCCCCGGAGCTCCTCGGGGGAGGACCGCCAGACTTCTGTCGGGCGTGTCCCCCCACAGAGAGATGTTCGTCGACAAATACAAAATATCCCTAAAGATACCCCAGAAAGGTAAAAAAGTGTTCAGAAAATAGCCCCCAGAAAGGTAAAGAAAATTCAGAAAATAGTCCCCAAATTATTTTTGGACTATTTTGGGGGCATCTTTTATTTTTCCCCGACAGTCCCCCTGTAGGGGGACAGGCCCGACTGAACGCCGGACGCTCCCAGGCAGCTCTCGGCCTGCCCCCGCCGTGGGACCCCCCGGCGGTGCGCCCTGCTCCCCCCCCCGGCGCCCTCGCCCCGGCTCCGGGCCTCGCGCAGGCGTCCTGGTCGGGGGCAGGAGGACGAGGAGGAGGAGGGGGAGGAGGAGAAGAAGAAGAAGAAGGAGGAGGACGAGGACGAGGACGAGGACGAGGAGGAGGAGGAGGAGGAGGAGGAGGAGGACGAGGACGAGGAGGAGGAGGAGGAGGAGGAGGAGAAGGAGGAGGAGGAGAAGAAGAAGGAGGAGAAGGACGAGGACGAGGACGAGGAGGAGGAGGACGAGGACGAGGACGAGGGCCACCACGGCACGACGCGGCTCGAGCAGCCCAGGCCGCCTCGCGTTGTGACAAAAAACACGACCCTGAGATCCTGGCGTTGCAATTTTTCTGCAGCGGGCGTTTTCGCTCGATCTCGGGCCCCGGGACCCTCACAGATCGATCGGGCTCGAAAAATGGCGCGGAATGATGAGCTCCGGGTCTCCGGGCGTGATTTTTGCGGTGCTGCATTTTTTGGGCAACGTCGGATCTCAGGGTGAAAAAATCACGACGGGAGGTTTTTCGCTATCTTCGGCCTCTGGGGGCCCTCACCGGGCCTCGGGGCCGTCAGAAAACGACTCGGGATGAACAACCGGTCCTAGGGAATGGGTCGAGACCTCTGGGGGTCGACGTCATGAAGAAATCATGACGTCGGGGGTCTGGGAATGGCGCAGAAAGATGGGGTCCGGGGCTCCGGAGGTGATTCTCTGCGATGCTGCAGGTTTTGTCTCTCAGCGTCCGATCCGAGGGCTCCCCAGATCTCCGACGCTATGATCTGCTCTAGCTCGGCGGCGCTCCTCCGTTGCAGCCTCCAGGGCCCGTCACCTGGCCCCCGGGGCCACCAGGCTTGGATCCGGGGAAGGGGCCTGGAGCTTTGGGGCCGCGGGTCTGCACGCCCGAAATGGGTATACTCTAGGCGATGGTTAAGAAAATCCAAGTTTTCGGCCAGAGTCTCAATTATTCTTAACTTTCCCATGTAAATCCAACGATTTTGATAGAAATTATGGGTTTTTCTTCAATTTCTGAGACTATGAATTTCTTAACCCATGATTTCTTAAGCATTTCGCATGGTGTACTGAAAGAATGGGTACGATGCCCAACAGCAGCTCTTGTTCCTTCTGAACAGGACTCGCTGTCCACGCCGCCGCGGCCTGTGTCCATTCGAGACAGGAGGTCGCCCGCCCAGCAGCGGCCGCTGTCGGTTTGGGACAACATTTGCTGTTGGGCATTGTACCCATCTTTTCGGTGCCCATTTCGGGCGTCCAAAGCGGGCTCCAGGAACCAGCTCGGCGGATGCGTGGGCCCGCCCTCTCCGCCCGCTTCGGTGCGCGGGCCACTCTGCCGCGCCCCGGCTGCTGCTGCTCGGCACTCCGTGTCCTTCGCGGGCCGCTGGCAGAAACATACCGAGGGGCTGTCAACCGCCACGGGGGCGTCCTCGTCGTCGTCGTCGTTGTCGTCGCGGTTGGCCGCTTCACACACTTCCAGCCCCCCCCCCCCGCGGGCCACTGAAAAACCACGGCGACGCCCCGCTCCGTCTCCGCACGGCACGCCAACAAGTGCTGTGCGCCAAGGCGAAGGCCAAGGCAGATCCCAGATCGGGCCAAGATCGGTTTGAAAAGCGGCATGATGGTAATTTTAGTATCGACGTCGTCTCGGAATACGTGTCGGCGGCGTCTTAGACGCAGCGTGGACGGTTCTCGGACCGCCTTCCTGAACAAGCGGCGGGATACGATGGGTGTGCGCGCCGTCTTGGGCCCAGACGCGGAATGCACGGAGCTTGACAGGGGGAAAGGCAAGGGACCGCGGGCCAAAGTTCGTTCAGCAAAAACTCTAAACCAAGTCTCGAGGGGATCATGGGAGCGACTAGAATTGGGAAGCGAACTGGCATGAGTACCAGCGGCCAGGTCATTTAGTTCTGTCTGAACGGTGATGAGAGCAATGGGATTGACTTAATTACATTGTTTTCAAAAAGTCATCTGTACAGTGGGATCCCCGATGACTGCGTGGCGAGGATAGGAATCAGTAGAGGTGCAACTGGCATAGGCAACGCCTACCGCTGCAAGCACGGTGGCGGGATTGCGTGTGGTACGCGTTCGTTTCGCGGGCTCGCGGGCAAGTTGGCAGCCTGCGCGGAAGTCGTAAGTAGGGGCTTAGTCGCCTAGCCATGCGCACTCAAAACGTGTATCTCCGTAGCCATCGTAGGATCCAGCGCAAGGTTTTGCTCGGGACGACTTCCAGCGGCCAGGGCCGATGTCGGCGAAGTCGAAGCCCGAGGTCTTGTGCGACTTGGGTATGGAGTGCTTCAAGAAGGGCGACACCGCCAAAAGCATCAAGTTTTTCGAGCAGGCCCTGCCACTGCTGGAGGGCGATGCCACGAACTCGTTGCTCGTCACGGCTCTTCTGAACCTCGGCGTATCCCACATGGTTGCCGGCGACGCGGACAAGTCGGCCGCCACGCTGGAGCGGGCGCTGGCGGTGCAGGAGGCGGCGCTGGGCGAGCACAGCCCCGAGCTGGCCGGGACTCTCCAGAACCTCACGGTGGTGTACAGCAAGCTCGGCCGCACGGAGCAGGCGGTGGGGTGCATGCAGCGCGCCGGGGAGATCGAGAGCCGCGCGGCGGCGCAGGCGAAGGTCGCCGAGCTGGAAGCTGCGGCCGGCCCGACGGTCGAGGAGGAGTGCCGGTGAGGACGCTCGCGCCCTGCGAGGTCAGCCTGGCGACGCCTCGGACGGGTATAGTCGGCGGCGAGCGAGGGGGGGGGGCAAGGGAGAAGGAGGAGGGGCCTTCTCGGAAGTCGGCGGGGCTTCGCGGAAACCCTCGCGCCTTCTGGTGGGTTGTCTGCGTCTTCGGGGAAGGTCGAGGGAACTTCGCAGGAGGCCCGGGGACTGCCTTCTGAGAAGGCCTTCTCTTTCTCGCTTCCCCCCCTCGCTCAGCGCCGACAGATGGGCAGGGAGGGCAGGCCAGGGCATCCCCAAGGGCTCTCTGTCGCAGAGTTGTCCCCCCGGGTCCCTGCCCAGACTTGGACGGGCACCTGGCCGAGATTCTCGAGCCGTTGATTTTCACTCGGGATGTGGCGACAGAGGCACTCGAGCGTTGCAACCAGACAAGGCTTCAGTCTGAGCTGGTTGCTCTCATAGCTAGTATGTTCCCTTGCAGGATGCTTCGCTTCATCAATCTGGTCGTTGAGGGCACTGGCTTCAGTGAAAAGCGCTGGAAGATGCCCAGTATTGCTTTTACGGCGGGCAGCTTGCAGACTACCGAGTATTGAGCAGTGTCGTACACCGCCTCGTGTATTCCGCCAAAACTGCAGCACATCGACAAGCAGATATTTGTTGTTAGCAGCCCGCCGATGATTAAGGCACCGCAGGAATCAGTCGTCGGGGGGGCGGGCAGGGGGGCAACATCTGATAGTTGGGAGGTTAGCTTCTTTTCGTTGTATAACCAAAAAGGAGGCCATCTTGAATACCGAAAGTTGCCCAGGCGGGCTCCCAAGGAGAGCAGGGACCACGGCTGCCCATGGTGGACTTGTTCGGCCATCCAGGCTCGTCATGAACGTCTTCTTGGGCGATACTCGGGGACCGTGGAGACCATCCTGATGACGAGCGTATGCCATCTTCGGCCCTGGTTTTGGGTCCTCCATCCCTGAGCCCCGGGCGCTGCAGTCTGTAGACACTGGAAGTGTTCGCCCAGTCTCGGGTCTTGGGACCACCACGCTCGATCCGGCTCGAAGAGCGCCGCAGAGAGATGGGATCCTGGGCTGCGCGGTCGGATTGCTCTGCGGTGCTGCCTTTTCTCTCTCTCGCAGGGTCGGATCTCGGGGACTGGTCACCCTGGAAGACCATGTTGGGGCACCCTGGGCCGTCCAGAGCCCCCTGGAGGGCGGCCCCAAGCCCGAGGGGGGCCCTGGGACCGCTCCTCCTCCTCCTCCTCCTCCTCCTCCTCCTCCTCCTCCTCCTCCTCCTCCTCCTGCTCCTGCTCCTCCTCCTCCTCCTCCTCCTCCTCCTCCTCCTCCTCCTCCTCCTGCTCCTGCTCCTCCTCCTCCTCCTCCTCCTCCTCCTCCTCCTCCTCCTCCTCCTCCTCCTTCCGCCGAGATCGGCCATGGCGGGTGCCGACGCCCATCGATGGACCACACTGCCACTGCCTGGGGGTGGTGGGGTCTCCCTGTGGCGGCCGGCCCTCCCCCGTCCTCTACCCCCCACTGCGTAATTATCCGTCTTCTCTCCCCTCCCCTTCCCCAGGGGAGGAGGGGGAGGAGGAGGAGGAGGAGGAGGTGGAGGAGGAGGAGGAGGAGGAAGAGGAGGAAGAGGAGGAAGAGGAGGGGGGTGGCGAGGACTATGATGAGGAGGACGAGGAGGAGGAGGAGGAGGGGGAGGAGGAGCAGGAGCAGGAGCAGGAGAAGGAGAAGGAGGACCAGTGAAAACCCGAGAGTCATCAGCAATGTTGGCGTAAACCCTACCTCCAAGCTCCCTCTTTATGGGCCCCCTACAAGGGTTCATTTTCACCGAGTGAACTCCCTCGTTGGAAGACAGCCGTTAGACCCTGAAGCATGCCAAAACATGATTCTCGGGACTCCAACGCCACGGAGCAACCTGACTGTTGCGTCTTGACGAGATCCTGAATCGCGCCAGAACGCCATTCCGGGGACGTCAACACCGCTAATAAACGTAATTGTTGCACCCTCATAATCCTGAACCTTTCCAAAATACTGTATCTGGTACGTTGACCATGGTAATCCGTGATACTCTTGCGATTTTTAAAAAGGGATGCGCGCGGCGCTGAGGCGAGAGCCACATTTTGAAAACGGGCCGCCCTCAATATGTGAAGCTCTGTGCGCGGCGCCAAGGCGAGAGCCACAGTTCGAAATCGACCCGCCCTCCATCTGTGAAACTGTTGCCAATGTTTAACCTTCACGGTCACGAATGGTGAGGGAGTCTCAGGCGAAACGCCCAGCACGCCCTTTCGACCAGCCTCGGGGTGCGACAGGGAGAAGTTTTTGTATAAGCACAAGGATTGGGGGAAGAGGAGGAGGAGGAGGAGGAGGAGGAGGAGGAGGACGCCGACGCCGACGCCGACGCCGACGCCGACGCCGACGCTGACGACTGCCGCCGCCGCAGACGACGACGACGCCGCCGCCGCCGCCTACGACGGCGACGACGACGACGACGGCGACGACGACGCCGCCAGCCGCCGCTCGCCGCCGCCGCGGGCCGCCGCCGTCCGTCGCCGCCGGCCGCCAGGGGCGGCGCCGTCGCCGCGGCCGACCGCGGCGCCGGCGGAAGCGGCGGCCGCGCCGGCGCCGTCGGAGGCCCCGCGCATCATCATCATCATCATCATCATCATCATCATCATCATCATCATCATCATCATCCTCATCGTCGTCGTCGTCATCATCATCATCAACAACATCAACATCAACATCATCATCATCATCATCATCATCATCATCATCATCATCATCATCATCATCATCATCTTTATCATCTTTATCATCAGCAGCAGCATCAGCAGCAGCATCAGTATCAACATCATCAACATCATCAACATCATCGTCACCGTCATCATCATCAGCAGCAGCATCGTCATCGTTCATTATATAGGCTTACGCCACATCCGCCGACCCCTATATAAGGTACTGCGCCTCCAGGACTGCATTTCACGAGGCTTGTCCGCATCATGACACGGTGCTCGACATCGTTCCTGTTGCTTCGTTGCTGTTATCGTACCTCTTGGTGCTCTTTTGTGGCCTCTTGGTGGCATCTTGGCTGGTCTGCAGGCCATATCCGGCCGCCTCGAGGCATCTTGGGCCAAGTTTTGGGGCCGTTTTGGGGCTTCCTGGGGGCTTCTTGGAGGCCTTTGAGGTTCTTTTGGGGGTCCCTCAGGGCCTCTTGGGCTGGTCTTGGGGCAGGCTGGGGGCGTCTTGGGGCCGAAGGCTCGAACAGGTGTCGTCTTGGGGCCGTCTGGGGGCCATGTTGGGCTGTCTTGGGGGCTTCGGGGGCTGTTGTTGGACCCTCTTCGACCCTTCTTGGGGGCCCCTGTGGTCGTCCGGGGGCGATATTGAAGGTTTTTTTGCCCGTCTGGGACGTTGTGCAAACCGAATAGGCGAGCATGCGAAAAATGCTTGTTTTTCAAAGGGAATGGAACGATTTTTGTTTCTTGGGACCCTTTTGGGGCGCATGTTGGGGGCCTTTTGGGGCGTCTTGGCAGCTTCGGAGGCCGCCTGGAGGCCATCGTGGGCGTCCAGGGCCATATTTCGGCGAATCGTGGCCCCCTGGGACCGTCTGGGGAGCGTTCTGGTGCCTTCATGGCCAGTTTTGGAACCCTCCGCTCCCCCGTGACGCGTTCAGTCCGGGGTCGCCCAGGGCCGGGAGGGGGTCAAATCTCTGGTTTGGGGTCCCTTGGGGGGGGTTATGGGGGGGAACCATCTCACACGCCTAGAGACGCACAAGGGGTCGGCGGATTATCATCAACCTCATCATCATCATCATCATCATCATCATCATCATCATCATCATCATCATCATCATCATTGGCAGCATCAGCAGCTGCAGCAGCGTCGTCGTCGTCATTATCAACATCATCGTCATCGTGATTGTCATCGCCATCGCAATCGCCATCATGATCATCAGCAGAAGCAGCAGCATCGTCGTCATCAACATCATCGTCATCATCATCATCATCATCATGGTCATCATCATAGTCATCATCATCACCATCAGCATTATTATCATCACCGTCATCATCATCATTTCCATCATTGTCAACATCATCATTATGATCACCAACATCATCATCATCATCGCAATCATAATTATAATCACCATCATCAGCATCGTCGTCATCGTCGTCGTCGTCGGCATCGTCATCATCACTATCATCATCACCATCATCGTCATCATTATCGTCATCATCGCCATTATCATCGCCATCGCCAACAACAACATCATCATCCTCATCAGCATCGTCATCATGATCATCTTCATCGACGCATCAACATCCTCGTCATCATCGTCAACGTCGTCATCCTCATAGTTGTCGTCATCATCATCGTTGTCGTCACCATCATCATCGTCATCATCAAAAACAGGCGTAACATGAACATGAACAGCAGCAACATACTCATCTTTATCGTCATCGTCATCCTCATGATTGTCATTATCCCAGTGCGACACTACCTAGGAGTTGGAGCATCTAGGAAAGCAACATCTACATCTACACCGACAGCTACATTTACATCTACAACCGCATCTACATCTACATCAACATCAACAGCGAGGCTGCGCTGTGCTATGCTAAGCACATATATGGTATGCTATGCTATGCTGCGCTATGCTATGCTATGCTGAGCTATGCTATGCTATACTATGCTTGGCTATGCTATGCTATGCTATGCTGTGCTAATGCTGCGCTAAGCTAAGCTAGGCTAGGCAAAGGTACGCTAAGCTAAGATGAGATAAGCTAAGCCAAGCTAAGCTAAGCTAAGATGAGATAAACTAAGCTAAGCTGAGCTAAGCTAAGCTAGGCTAAGCTAGGCTAGGCGAAGCTAAGCTAAGCTAAGATGAGATAAGCTAAGCTAAAGGTAGCTTAGCTAAGCTAAGCTGGGTGAACCCAGGGGGGCGCAACTGGGGGAACCGCGGGGCGGATGCCGGGGGAACCGCCTGGGGCGTTATCCACTGCCCGGCCCTTGAAGCATATAGAGTAAGAACCCTTCTAGGCAGAGCCTAGGTAGGGAATCATCATCATCATCATCATCATCATCATCATCATCATCATCATCATCATCATCATCATCATCATCATCGCTAGCAGAAGCATCGGCGTCGTCATCATCATCATCATCATCATCATCATCATCATTCTCATCATTTTCATCATCATCGTCACCATCATTATCATCAGCAGCAGCATCGTCGTCATCATCATTTTCGACAGCAGCACCATCGTCATCGTCATAAGCATCATCATCGTCATCATCGTCATCACCATCTCCATCATCATCATCAGCATCAACAACCTCATCAGCATCATCATCATCCTCAGCATCATCGTCATCATGATCATCTTCATCAACATCATCAACATCATCAACATCCTCGTCACCATTGTCAACGTCGTCATCGTCATAGTCGTCGTCATCATCATCGTTGTCGTCACCATCATCATCGTCATCATCAAAAACAGGCGTAACATGATCAAGAACAGCAGCACCATACTCATCTCCATCGTCATCGTCATTATCATGATTGACATCATCATCATCATCATTAGCAGAAGCGTCGTCGTCGTCCTCAGCATCATAACCATCCTCATCATCATCGTCACCATCATTATCATCAGCAGCAGCAGCATCGCCGTCATAATCATCATTATCGGCATCATCACC